CTGGAGGCAGGTTGTTCCACTGGTTAATTGTTCTCACTGTCAGGAAGTTTCTCCTTAGTTCTAGGAAGGAAGGAAGGAAGGAAGGAAGGAAGGAAAAGGAAAAGGAAGTTGTGCTTGCATACCCAGGTCTCTTGCTTCTACAAGCCCATGCTTGGTTCTGTGGCAAGGATGCTTGTGTCTTTGCATGCCGGAAGCTGCTCTCTTAGGGTAAAGACCCCCATCTGCCTGGCTCCTGCCCGGGTCTCTGTCAGGGGTCCTTGCCGCCCCTGCTGATCAGCCGAAGAGGACTGGCTTCCTCTGTTGATTTTTTCAGCCTTCTCTCATTGCTCCAACTCAGTAGAAGAAGTAACTCCATCTCTGCTGCGGCCAAGGATCAGGGAGTTGTAAGGACCCCACCTCTGCTAACCCCCCAAGAGAGCAGCACTCTTGAAACGGGCGTCGTCTCAAAAGGAAACTTTTATTAAGGGGGTTAGTGACAGCAGGGAAGTCAAAGTGATATCTGGGAAAAATCCCGCTTCACCGGTATCGTTAAACTAGCAATCATCCTCCTCCCACCAAAGTCATCGTGTCCATTTGAAACCCAGCCGATCCACAGGGGACACGATGTTTGCTTAACTGGCACCAGTTGCGGGCATCTCAAGGTCTTCCCCAGTTTCGTTTCTCCGTCGCTAGGGAGACAGTCTTTTCTCAAGTGGAGAGAGGTGGGAGAGGAAAAGCAGAAAGCAAAAGTTATCCCAAGCGAAAGCAAATTCCCTCCTCCCCCCCCCCCAACAGAATGGCAGGCCCCAAACAAGAGCAGATGTGCAGGGAAAACAATAAGGATTGGGGGCATCTTCTGCTTCTGGAGTGTATTTCATAGAAAACTAGGGCTGGAAGGGACTTTGGAGATCTTCTAGTCCAGGGGTAGGCAACCATGACTCGTGGACTTCAACTCCCAGAATTCCTGAGCCAGCATGGGGGAAACTTTGGCCCCCTCATGACTCGCGGACTTCAACTCCCAGAATTCCTGAGCCAGCATGGAGGAACTATGGCCCCCTTCATGACTCGTGGACTTCAACTCCCAGAATTCCTGAGCCAGCCTGGCACAGCTTGGAAACCTCTCCCTTTCCCCTCAGCATGGCTGGCTCAGGAATTCTGGGAGTTGAAGTCCACGAATCATGAAAGAGCCAAGGTTGCTTATCCCTGGTCTAGGAGGCTCACCGCTTAGAACAGGAGGACTTAGGACAGGAGTAGGCAACCTTGGCTCTTTTATGACTGGTGGACTTCAACTCCCAGAATTCCTGAGCCAGCATGGGGGAAACTTTGGCCCCCTCATGACTCGCGGACTTCAACTCCCAGAATTCCTGAGCCAGCATGGAGGAACTATGGCCCCCTTCATGACTCGTGGACTTCAACTCCCAGAATTCCTGAGCCAGCCTGGCTCAGCTTGGAAACCTCTCCCTTTCCCTCAGCATGGCTGGCTCAGGAATTCTGGGAGTTGAAGTCCACCAGTCATAAAAGAGCCAAGGTGGCCTACCCCTGTTCTAAAGTCCAACTCACTTGCCCAAGGCAGGAGTCCTTACACCATTCTGGACAATTAGCTGTCCAATCTCTTAAGAATCTCCAGTGGTGGAGCACTCACAACTTCTAGGGGCAAGTAGTTCCATTGGTTAATAGTTCTGACTGTCAGGAAATTCCTCTTTAGTTTCAGGTTGATGTCCTTCCTCCCTCCCTCCCTCTGCTCTATGCAGGATCCTCGTACCATCCCTGGAGGGAAGCAGTTCCACTGATTCATTGCTCTCCCTGTCAGGAAATTCCTCCTTAGTTCCAGGTTGATGTCCTTCCTTCCTTCCTTCCTTCCTTCCTTCCTTCCTTCCTTCCTTCCTTCCTTCCTTCCTTCCTTCCTTCCTTCCTTCCTTCCTTCCTTCCTCCTTCTTCCCACCCTCAGGGGCTTCGGAGGATGTTCCTCATTGCACACTCCTCCCTTCCCCCTTCCATCCACCGAACGCACACAGCCGCCCCCTTTGCCATAGGGCTCTCTGGCAACCGAAGCTTCCCCGTCGTTCCCATTACGGCCACCCCTCCCTTTACACACCGTCTTTGAAATGTCCCTCCCCGCTCTCCGTTCCAGGAGGTCAGCGCGTTTGGGGAGGACGGTGAGGGGGACTTCCTGGACGACTGGACGGTTCTGTGCGATGGCAGGTATTGGGAGAGGACGAGCGAGGTGCGGTTCAGGCACGCCTCCACCGAGGTGCTTCTCTCGGTCACCGGGGAGCAGTACGGACGGCCCATCCACGGGCAGAGAGAAGTTCACGGCCTGGCTTACTCCGGCCAGGACAGCTACTGGAAAGCCATGGAGGGCATCTTCGTCAAGCCTGCGGAATTGCTGAAGGCCGACCTCTACCACACAGAGCTATGACCTTAAAGGGGCCTTCTCAACGCCCGCAGCTTCAGACCATCCAGTCTTTTCCAGGTTGTGGTTTGGTGACCCAGACAGACGTGGGTGCGGGAGACGCCGCTCGGCTGCCGAGACGGGGCTCTTTCCCACCAGCTACCAAGGACAGCGGCGTTTCTGCCCTGGGTCTCGGCCCGCGGCCCGCTGCTGGCCTTCAAACCTGGGAGGGGGGGTCTGGGAATCTGCCGTCAATAAACATTGGATATCAAAATACCCGTTGCAGGTAGTTGGGTGTTTCTTCCCCGGATTCTCACACTAGCTCGAAGTTACAAACGGCACCGAACAAATGACTTGTGGCCGTTTTTCACACTTAACGATCCTCACAGTCACGTGATTCAGATTCAGACCCCTTGGCAACCGAATCATATTTACGACGGTCGCAGTGTCCCAGGGTCGCCTGCCCTTTTGAGACTTTCCAACAAGCAAAGGCAATGGGGGAAGCCGGGTTCCTTCCACACCCGTGTGATTGGCTTAGCAACTGCAGTGATTCACTTAACTGTGGCAAGAATGGTCGTAAAACGGGATCAAATTCACAACTGTCTCACTTAGCAAAAGGAATGTGGGGCTCCATGGTGGTCGTACGTTGAGGACTACCTGAGCCATCTGCCCTTGGGAAGGGTTAGGTCAGGGGTAGGCATGGCTGGCTCAGGAATTCTGGGAGTTGAAGTCCACGAGTCACTAAAAGAGCCAAGGTTGCCTACTCCTGGGTTAGGTGGACAAAATGGCCAGGCCCAAGATAAACCCCTGGCTGACTGGGTGGCCAACCACTCCAGGAACAGTTCTTTGGGAAAGGGGCTGCAGGGCACGTTTAACAGGAGATGGGCAGCAAATACGTTTCACCATGAATAAATAAAAATGGATGGATGGATACACAGGTAGACACCGGTGGGTGGGTGGGTGGATAGATGGATATGTACATATGATGGATAGGAATTAGAACATTGATACAGAGATACATACATACATAGATATGCAGAGATATATAAAAATGGATGGAGAGATAGAAATACCTAGATAAATGATATAGATCAGGGGTAGTCAGCCTTGGCTCTTTTATGACTCGTGGACTTCAATTCCCAGAATTCCTGAGCCAGCTTAGCTGGCTCAGGAATTCTAGGAGTTGAAATCCACGAGTCATAAAAGAGCCAAGGTTGACTACCCCTAATATAGATGATGGGTGGATAGATAGATAGACAGACAGACAGACAGAGAGATGGGTGGGTGGATAGATGGATATGTACATATAATGGATAGGAATTAGAATATCATACAGAGATACATACACAGATATGCAGAGATATATAGAGAGAAAATGGATGGAGAGATAGAAATACTGTCCTAGATAGATGATAAAGATAGATGATGGGTGGATAGATAGATACAGTGCTTTTTTTCTATATATAAAAAAAGGTGCCGGAGATCAAGGAGAGAAGCAACCTAGAACTAAGGAGAAACTTCCTGACAGTGAGAACAATTAACCAGTGGAACAACCTGCCTCCAGAAGCGGTGAATGCTCCAACAGTGGAAGTTTTTAAGAAGAGACTGGACAGCCATTTGTCTGAAATGGTGTAGGGTTTCCTGCCTGAGCAGGGGGTTGGACTAGATGACCTCCAAGGTCCCTTCCAACTTTATTATTATTATTATTATTATTATTATTATTATTATTATTATTATTATTAACTCACACACGTCATACAAACCGCCTTGCCTACCCTACAAGGTTCCATCCAAAAAAGGTGCCGGAACTCCGTTCTGGGAGTTCTATGAGAAAAAAAGCCCTGGAGATAGATAGATGGATAGATGGATAGATATGGGTAGGTGGATAGATATGAATAGATAATAGATAGAGAGAAAGAGATAGATTGATAGATGATAGATAGAAAATAGAATAGAATTTGAATTGAATTGGAAGGGACCCTGGAGGTCTTCTAGTCCAGCCCCCTGCTCAAGCAGGAAACCCAATACCATCTAAGACACAGAGGAGTCACGTGCCTTTTCTTTCTCAACCTGGGGCCTTTGAATGTGCGCGGACTTCAACTCCCAGAATGCCCCGGGCCAACCACGTGACGCTTCTAAGGCGCCCGCGTTGCCACACGCCGGCCTTGAAGGCAGCTCCTTCTGCGCGCCGTCCAAGCGGGGGACTCGCTTTCCCGGCAAGCTCTAGGCGAGTTTTCGCCGCGCGTGCGCAGTACGGACCCCTGCCTCTAAAGGCGGGGAGCGACAACCCGGCGCCCGCCGGAAACTGTAAGAGAGGGGGGGGAACAAAATCCCCGCCCCCGCCCCTGCATTTGCCCAATAGAGGGGCTTCCCCGCAGCTGATCCCGCCCTCCAGCGAGGCTGGCCCCGCCCTCCAGCGGCGCGAGGCTGTAGAGGCGGGCCCTTCCTGGGAGGTCGCGGCTTCCACGCCCCGCCCCTCCTTTGCGCCCGCCAATGGCTGCGCCGAACGGCCGCCCGCTCCCGCTCCGCCTTCTCCCCCCCCTCTTCCTCCGCGCGCGCTCCCGCTGGCCCCGCCCCAGACGCCGCCGGTGACGGGCGGTTGGAGCGCGCCCCCCTCGCGCCCCCCCCCATGGCGGTCCCTGTGCTGGGCGCCCTCCTGCTGGTGCTGCTGGTGCTGCTGGGCGGCCTCTGCCTGGGCAGGTAGGCTGGGGGGGGGCTCTCCCCCTCCCTTCGCTTGCCCCCCCCTTCCCGGCACGGAGGGACCCCCCCGCGTCNTGGGGGCGCCTGGCCAGGGTCTCCCCCCCCCGCCCTTCCTGCCACCTGTCTCCACCTGTGGGTCCTCTTCCCCCCTCCCCTCTGGGTCCTCCCCCCCCACTGCCCCTGTTGGAGGGGGCCTCTGAGGAGGAGGGGGCCTCTGAGGGCGTGCAGAGGGTCTGCTGGCACCCCGGCTTTGGAGGAGGTGGGGGGCACCGGCTGCAGGGGGTTGGCCCCCCAGGCTTTGGCTGGCTCCAGCCCGGGAAGGAGGGAGGGGGGGGTTGCTTGGGAGCAGAAGGTGGGTGGGGAGGGGAGATGGGGCACCCGGTGGTGCTTAGGCAGGGGTCTCCCCCCCTGGGCTGCTTTTAAGACGGGTGGACTTCAACTCCCAGAATTCCCCAGCCGGCATAATTAAGACCAGGAAGCAGGGCTGGCTGGGGAATTCTGGGAGTTGAAGTCCACCCGTCTGGGCTTGTCTACAGCTGTTCCTGCAGCCTCCAGGCTACTCTAAAGTTGGAGCAGATGAAGGGGGGGCGCTCCCCTTCCCTGTCCCTGCCTCTTTGTTGCTTCCAGGTGGAGCTCAGTTTACGACAGTGTTTCTCAACCTTGACCATTTTAAGGCATGTGGACTTCAACTCCCAGAATTCCACAGCCAGCATTGCTGGCTGTGGAATTCTGGGAGTTGAAGTCCACATGCCTTAAAATGGTCAAGGTTGAGAAACACTGGTTTACGACCAGACAGAGCCCCAAATTTCCATTGCTAAGCAAGGCTGTTGTTAAGTGAGCTTTGCCCCGTTTTACGACCTTTCTTGCCGGAGTTGTGAAGCAAATCAGTGCAGTTAAATTAGTCACACGGTTGTGAAGTGAATCCGGCTTCCCCATTGCTTGTCACAAAAGGGGGTCACATGACCCCGGGACGCTGCAAGCGTCATAAATATGAGTCAGTTGCCCAAAGAAGAGCCTGAATATTGATCACATGACTGGGGATGCGGCTACGGTCGTAACTGTGAAAAACGGTCATGCCGCTTTTTTTTCAGGGTCGTAATTTTGAACGATCACTAAACGAATGGTTGTAAATCAAGGACTACCTGTCCTGAATTAAGAAAACAAAGTGGTGGGCAAAAAATCAACTGTGCATCGTTTATTGTCACCTTACTTTTAGAATAGAATAGAATTAGAATTAGAATAGAGAATAAAATATAGAATAGAATATAGAATAGAATTAGAATTAGAATAGAATTGGAATTAGAATTAGAATAGAGAATAAAATATATAATAGAATAGAATTTAGAATAGAATGGAATAGAAAATAAAATAGAGAATAGAGAATAGAATAGAGAATAGAATAGACAATCGTTTATTGTCACCTTGCTTTTAGATTAGAATTAGAATTAGAATTAGAGCTGGAAGGGACCTTGGAGGTCTTCTAGTCCAGCCTCCTGTTCAAGCAGGAGCAGAAATTTTCATGAGAAGAGATTGGACAACTAGGTCTCCTGCTTGTGCAGGGGGCTGGACTAGATGACCTCCAAGGTCCCTCCCAACTCTTGTTATCCTGTTAATTAATTTTTTTATGACTTGTGGACTTCAACTCCCAGAATTCCTCAGTCAGCATGCCTAGCTGAGGAATTCTGGGAGTTGAAGTCCACAAATCATAAAAGGGCCAAGTTTGAAAACCCTGTTCTAACCTAATGTTTCTCAACTTTGGCAGCTTGAAGATGGGTGGACTTCAACTCCCAGAATTCCTCAGCCAGCTCTGTTGGCTGGGGAATTCTGGGAGTTGAAGTCCACTCATCTTCAAGCTGCCAAAGTTGAGAAAAGTTGCTTTGACCTTTTATTGGCAGTGCTTCAAGCTGTTTTCCAGACATGTTCTGAGTTCAAAATGTGCCCCTTTTATGTTTGGAGAAGGAGAGGAGGAGCAGCTGCGTCTGGCCATTGAGTTAAATGACCCCTTCTGGCCCTGTTAGTTAAAGGATTCCCTGGTCTGTCCTCCCTGTAGGTGGCTCCTGTACATACTGATTACCAACTGGTGCCGGCGGCGTCTCCAGGCCGAGCTGAAGATCCAGTCCTTCTGGGTTTGGGGGATCCAGAATCTCAGCTTGAAGTTTCAAGAAGAGCAGCAGACGGTGGTGAGTAAGGAGCGTCTTGTCTCCTGAGGAGCAAGACTTAACCCAACTCCGGTCAAGCTCTCCCTGGGTTTCTCCTCTCTCTGGGAGAGAGCGCACGGTCGTATTGCGCGAGATAAGCCAGGAGTAAACACAGTAAACAGTGGTCTATAGTAAATGGTGGTTTATCTTACACTATCTACAATATATACCAGGAACAATATACATACATGTGCTAATACAGCAGGATCCAACAAACCACAGTTACAGCAGGCAACGGAAGAGAGAGAACACCTCAGCAGAGCCTTCCCTTTATACCAAGGCTCTTAAAGAGACACAGACCCTGATGGGTCTTAAAGAGAGACAGAGCCTGCTGGCTCTTAAAGAGACAGACCCTGCTGGCTCTTCAAGGGACACAGACCCTGCTGGCTCTTCAAGAGACACAGACCCTGCGGAGTTATTCCCATCATTACATCTTACATTACATAAGCTGGTTAGCTGTTAAATCACCTCTGGGCAGATCCCTGCAATGACACCATAATTCTATTATTTATTCATTTATTATTGCATGTATGTGCCAACCCATCTCACTGTTGAAGCGACTGCATTGTTATGGCAAGGATTATTTTGGGGTGCTGGAAGGTGGGCCGGTGATCATTTGTTCTGCAGGACAGGGGTTGTGTAGGTTCTCTGTAGCCCCCCCCCCCATGTAAAACGATGTTGAGACTCTGGAAAGAGTGCAGAGAAGAGCCACAAAGGTGATTAGGGGACTCGAGGCTAAAACATATGAAGAATGGTTGTTGGAATTGGGTAGGCCTAATTTCATGGAAAGAAGGACCAGGGGTCACATGATAGCAGCCTTCCAATATTTGGGGGGCTGCCACAAAGAAGAAGGCATCAACTTATTCTCCAAAGCACCTGAAGGCAGGATAAGAAGCGACGGATGGAAACTCATCAAGGAGAGAAGCAACCTGGAACTACGGAGAAATTTCCTGACAGTCAGAACAATTAACCAGTGGAACTCCTTGCCTCCAGAAGTTGTGGGTGCTCCATCACTGGAGGTTTTTAAGAAGAGATTGGTCAACTGTTTGTCTGGAATGATATAAGGTTTCCAGCTCAAACAGCGAGTTGGACTAGATGACCTCCAAGGTCCCTTCCAACTCTGTTATTCTGATCTACATAATAATTATTATTATTAATAATAATAATAATAATAATAATAATAATAATAATAATAATAATAATAATAATAATAATAATAATAATGTTGGAAGGGACCTTGGAGGTCATCTAGTCCAACCCCCTCATTAATCAGTGGAACGGACGTTGCCTTCGGAAGTTGATGGTGCTCCAACACTGGAGGTTTTCCAGAAGAGACCGGACAGGCATTTGTCTGGAATGACCTAGTCCAGGGCTTTTCAACCTTTTCACCCATTGTGCCACTTTTAGGATATGGCAACATCCGAGTACCACCAGTCGCCTAGCAAGGGGTCAAAAACTCGATGACCCCCCCAAAAGGAAAAAAGTGATAAAGTACAGGTAGTCCTCGACTTACAACAGTGCGCTTAGTGACTGTTCAAAGTTACAAGGGCACTGAAAAAAGTGCCCCCCCCAAGCCACAGCCGAGCAAGACACCTGCCTGCCCGCCCGGCCGCGCTCTTCCTCCTGTCCGAGGTTTTCATTGTTGTGAGCATTTCTGTTGAGGATTGGCAGCGGGGGTGGGGTGGGGGGGTGTTTGGTTTTTATTCCCCCCCCCCCCCGTCTGCTGGGTGGTTGCAGCAGGTTTTGGTCACTTCCCATGACCCTGGGACACTGTGACCGTCATAAATATGAATCGGTTGCCAAACATCGGAATGTAAATCACAAGACCCTGGAGAGGCTGCAACAGTCCAGCTGATCGGCGCTTCTTCTGGGCTCAGCAGAAACGCCAGGATCAGTGCTGAGGTCCAGCTGGAGCCTGGCGCTGATCCTGGCGCTTCCGCTGAGCCCTGACAGCCCCGAAGAAGCGCCGATCAGCTGGAAAGTGGCGCTGATCCTGGCGCTTCCGCTGAGCCCTGACAGCCCTGCAGCTCCAGCCGTCTCTGGCTCAGGCTTGTGCGGTGCTGCCTCCGGTTCAGCTCATTCCCCTCCCCCGCTACCACTTTTCTAGGATGGTCGCGTACCACCTGCCAGGTGCCAATGGACCACAGGTGGTCCCCGTACCACTGGTTGAAAAGCCCTGGCCTAGGGCAGGGATGTCCAACTTGAAGACTTGTGTCCATGGAGATTCTCCGTCGTCCAGGTCCTGGTTGTCCCAAAGGACGAGCTGCTTGGAGGAGAAGCAAAACGTCTTCAGACACAACAAGAAAATCCCGTTGTCTCTTGAAAAAGTTCCTTTGGGTTTAAGACTTGTGGACTTCCAACTCCCAGAATTCCCCATAGTCTTTAAAGTCAACAATTTCCAAGGTTGGATATCCTTGGTCTAGGGCAGGGGTAGGCAACCTTGGCTCTTGGGGAAAGGGAGAGGTTTCCAAGCTGAGCCATGCTGGCTCAGGAATTCTGGGAGTTGAAGTCCACGAGTCAAAAAAGAGCCCAGGTTGCCTGCCCTTGGTTTAGGGTTTCCTGCGCAAGCAGGGGGTTGGACTAGAAGACCTCCCATGGTCCCTTCCAACTCTTGTTGTTCTGTTCTTTCAGGAGATTGACAGCATCTGGATCTCCAGCAGGCTCCTGAACAATGATGTGCCGTAAGTCTCCAGGGCGTCTTGGGGGTCTTCTGGGCTCTGGGTGTTGAAAGGGGCGGCCTCCCCCGCCCCCCAGCCTCTCACCTGGGACTCTTCTTGGGGAGCAGTCCCCCCTCAGGAGGTGGACCCTGGTTGCCTTCTGGGGAGGACCCAGCTGGGACAGCCAGAAATATCCCTCTCAACTTAATAAATAAACAATAAATGCACGTGGGAAGTTTTGCGCTTCTGGTTGAAGACTACTTTACCCATCGTGCTGTCTTCTAGAAATCCCAGAGTTCCCAGCCAACTTTCTTGGGGTGTCAAATTGGGAAGAAATTGGGNTCCCTTGGCCGGCGCTGCCCACCATCTCCCTCCCCTCTCTGCTCCCCCCCCAGCTCTGCTCCTTCCACGTGGACTCGGTCAACGTGATGGTGCTGCACGTGGCCGCCTCGGAGTCTCTGTGGCACGTCCAGGTGTCCAGGTCCCAGGTCCTGCTGGGCTGTGACGGCAGGAGGTGAGTCTCGCGGCTGGGATCCTTCCCGAAGGCCCCTCTGGGGAGGAATAGGGCGGGGGGGGAGCGGCTGCATGGGGACCCCCTTTGGGCAAGCAAGGGGGGCCCGGCTGGAGTCCTGGGGAGGGGGCCCCTGTTCCACCCCACGCAGGGCCAATTCCTGCTCCGTCCTGGAGCGGGACTGGAGGGTTGGGGCTGTGTGCGGCTGGGGTGGGGGGTGGGGGTCTTTGCATCCGATGCCTCCTGCTGCTCTGAGCTGCTCTCCCCCCCCCCCCAGTGTGGCCTGTGAGCTGACCTGCGGCCAGGTGAACAGCAAGGTGCTCAAGAGCAGCCAGCAGGTAAGGGAGGCCGGGACCCCCGAGCCTGCCTTCAAGTGTGCCGTCCGGGTTAAAGCTTATTTTGTATTTACTTACTTACTTACTCAATTTTTATGCCGCCCACCTCCCTTATAAGGTGACTTTTGGTTGCTATAATGGGAAAGAAACAACATCCAGGGATTCTTGGTCACCGGGCTGAGAACCATGGGGTGGGATGGCACCCAGGAAGCCCTCCCCCCCACCCCTTAACGAACATTTCATGTCCACTTTAACGATCCTTGCCTATTCAGTTTTTTCTTTTTAACTTTTTATTTGTACACTGCCAAGAGTCCCTCTGAGAGGGAAATGTGATTGATAGGTAAGTAGGCAGGTAGTAGGGAGGGACAGTGGGAGAGAGAGAGGGAGAGAGAGGATGGATGGGTGGGTGGGTGGATGGGTGGATGAATGGATTAAGGAAGGAAGGAAAAGATGGATGGATGGATGGATGGATGGATGGATGGACGGACGGACGGACGGACGGACGGACGGACGGACGGACGGACGGACGGACGGATGAATGGATGGATGAATGGAGGAAGGAAGGAAGGAAGGAAGGAAGGAAGGAAGGAAGGAAGGAAAGGATGGATAGGTGGGTGGGTAGGTGGGTGGGTG